CCCCCCCCCCCCCCCTCCCCCCCCCCCCCCCCCCCCCCCCCGCCGCCACTTCAAGTTGCAAAATCAGAAACGGCAAACAAGGCTGTCGGGAGAGGCATTCAGGAGAGTAACACGCCGGACACGCACACGCAGGCAGACACGCGCGCACACGCCCGGCACACGGCTCCCCACTCGCGCACTCGCACACACGCACGGGCACGGGCACAGACACACGCGGTCCGGGCGCTAGGAGCGCGGAGGATGTGCAGGCATAGAGGAAGCCGCGGCGCCGCCGAGGAGGAGGAGGAGGAGAAGGAGGAGGAGGTGGAGGAGGAGGAGGAGGAGGAGGGGAAGGAAGAGAAGGAGGAGGTCGCCGCTCGCCGCTCGCCGCCGCCGGGGCCCGGCCGCCGCCGCTCCCGCGGAGGCTGCTCCCGCCGCCACTGCCGCCGGTGCCGGTGCGGGCTTTCGGGGAGGAGGGAGGTGGAGAGAGGAGCCGTCCGCCGGCGATCAGAGCATGGAGGTGTCCGGGGGCCAGGTCCAGGGCAGGGCGCCGTCAGCCATTCAGGGCGGCGGAGCTGGGGAGCGCGGCAGAGGCTGGCGGGGTGCTGAGGCAGTTTGATCTCCTGTCGCGGCGGCGGAGAAGGAGGAGGAGAAGGAGGAGGTTGCCGGTCGCTGCTCTTTCTCTCCCGAGCTGCTCTCTCTCGCTCTCTGTCTCTCTCGCTCGCTCGCGCTCTCTCTCGCTTTTTTTTTTTTTAAAAAAAAAAAAAGAAAAAAATTCGCAGAAAAAATCGGATGTGACTAAATTCGCAGAGGAGACGAATTCACGGCGAAGTGTAAAAATAGAGAACGGGAATAATAATGACACTTGCAGGAAAAAGAGAGATCCAAAGTAGGTCGGGTAAATAAATCCTCTTCTCTTCCTCTTTCTTGCCCTTTCCTTCTTCTTCTCCAGTGAGAGCGCACGATGCCGGTTGCGAAGAAAAAAAAAGAAAATCGGTGGAAATTGCCCTCAAAAAGATTCTTTTTTGTTTGTTTGTTTGTTTGCCTAAAAAAAGTATTTCGGGTAAAAACTCATCAGCCAGAAGAGAAGCCCTCCCCCAAAATAAAAAAAAAAAATAGGCAAGAATGGTCAAAATAGTAACGGTATTAAGATGTGAACGCGTTCTCTCTTTCTCTCTCCGGACTTTTCCCCCTCCCCCCCAATTCTCCCTCTCTGTTTTTCCCCCTTTTTTCTTTCTTTCCGAGTTTCTTTTTTTTTTTCTTTTTTTTTAGTTGTTGTTTGGTTTGGGTTTTTTGTTTTTTTTTTCAGTTTCACCTCTCTCTTCTTCTCTTCTCCTGCAGAAATGAAGCGAAAGGCACAAGGAGGAAGGGTGGAAAAAAGAAGAAAAGGAAGGAGAAGAGGGAGATGAAGGGGGGGCAAAAAACTAATAGAATATGCAAGAAAGGGGAAGGGGGGAGAGACGGGGAGAGAGGGAGAGAGAGAGGGGGAGAGAGAGAGAGAGAGAGAGAGAGAGAAAGAGAGAGAGACCCAAAAAATGAATGCGTTTAAACGGGAAGCCTAGCAGAGCAATGTTTCCGAAAGGGGGATCTGCGCGAATGTCTGTATATAGTGAACTTTGACACTACTATTGAAACTGACACGTTTCTATGGAGATCGCTGCCTTATATGGAGCTCGTGTCAAGGAGCCAAGAGAAGGGCTGCTGGCAACTGATAATCAAAGGCGACTGACTGGTCAGAGCCCTGAATTGGGGGGAGAGAAAATGGGAGGCTAAGGTTAGCCAAGCCTCTTTCACTCCATTGGTTACCCCCCCACCCCGGGCTTTCCGACACCCCCCC